ACAGAGAGATGGGGGGGGGGAGAGAGAGATCAATTATAAATGTTTACGAAATCTTTTACTTCACCTAAAAGAAACATTTTTATTTATGCTTTTCATCCAAACATTAATAAAATGTTACTAATAAATGTCAATAAGGACAAAGATTTAGTTACGATTCAACGATGTGAAGTTGTTTATAATCTTTTCCAAATCAATCCTTATTAAGCGTAACAAAGTATAAAATTGTTGCAATTCGAATTGCATTTGTCGGAGTACTTTCAGTTCGTCAAGAAGTTCCTGAAAATAACATACTAATATTAACGTAAATTTTGAAATTTCAAGAGAATATTTTCATCAAAATATAGTAAGATTTTATTTTCACATACCTTATTTTCCATTTGAAACAAAAGTTTCAAAGTATAAGAAAAGTTAAACATAGAAAATATTAAGTTAATATTTCATGCACAATTCTATGGATTTTCCTTCGGGTAACTGAAATGTCATAAATTCAAATAGTTGTGAATACAAGTGTTCTTAAACTCATTTTATTTAAATAATAATAAGTAATTTTTATTTTCATCTTACATAAATGTACATACACGGTGTTTGTAAATTCATAAAAATTCATAAAATTCATAAGTATAAAAACCTATCCAATAATTTAAAAAAATCTGTAAATGTATAACTTTTCTTTGATCTGAAGGTAGTGTGTAAGAGTTAACATTTGATAGAAGGATAATATAGTTTTGTACTATTGGCAGTGCTGTTAAATGTGACAGGTCAGTCTGCAAGAATGGCGACCACGGTAGAAGAACAGAATTCATTTGACATGGGCGAAGATAAAGAATCACAGTGAGTTGTGATATATTAATTGTAATAAAAAAATTGTCTACAACTAACGTATAATTACACAAAAACATTAAAAGAAGAATGCTACGATTATAGTTAGGCTTTAAGAAAATAACCTAGCATATAACATCATTCGTGATTCTCGGTAATATTTTTTAATTTTTACATCTATTTACATTACAGATTTGACCAAGCTACTTACAGTTGGATAGATATTACCGAAGAATTTTTCGAGGCTATTACAGGTGCTTATTTAGAAACTAATTTTCTCCTTTGCAAATGCTTGCTTTACAAGTTTTCTTTTTATTTTTTTCTTCCTTTCCATTTTTTGTTTTATGTTCATTGTTGGAATTTAAGTATCATTGTCCACTGGATCTTTAATTTATATTGATTAGTGACGTGAATTAATAAAGACAATATATTATACAATATTAAATATTATATTGTTCTGTTCATTTAGAGCTGGAATTAGGTGAGCTATTACATGATGAGTTGTTTGGATTATTTGAGGCCATGTCTGCAATTGAAATGATGGATCCAAAAATGGATGTAGGCATGCTATGTAATAGAGGCAATAACAAACCATGCAGTTTTACACAGGCTGTTGATTCGGGTGCATTGAAATTGGACAATTTAACTCCATCAGAAGTTATAGCAATAATAGATTCAACTTATGCGTGTATAGTGTCTTGGCTTGAAGGTCATAGTTTGGCCCAAACAGTTTTCACTAACTTGTATCTTCACCAACCAAGTCAAATAGTGGATAAGCCTTTGAAAATCTTTTGTTATGCTGTATATAAAATAATTGAAGTTATCAAAGATTGCATCAATAAAGCATTAGTTTTTGAGGAAGAAGATTTCCAGAGTGCTACTTACGGTTATAGATTACAACAGGATATTACAGAACAAAAAATCATATCAATGCTGAGAGAAGTAGAAGATGAACGACCTAGGAAAAGTAGAATGAAACCAAGTCATACAGTATCGGAGAAAGAAGTAGGTGCATGTTGCAAAACATAAATTGTACTGAACTTTTTAGAATAATTAAGAATATAAATAATTGCTTAAATTATTACTTCTTTCAGTCTAATGATAGATTAGCACTGTATGCTAGAATTAGATTTACTAAAATATTTTATCAAATTCTATCATTAATGGGAAAAAAGGAACAGTTGCAACAAAATCTAAATTATTGTCACATACTATTATCAAAATGTTCTCGCATGATCCAAATTATGATTAAAACAGTAGGATGTGGTGATAAAGCTGATGAAATATGTAAGTTTCTTGCGATTAACAGTTTATATAAACTATTATATCAACTATTGTGTAAATTATGTGTTATATTATGATTATAGCAAATTATCCGAATGTTATGGGATTTGTCCCTATGGTGAATCAAAGATTATTACCACCAACATTTCCAAGGTATACAAAAATAAAGCCAAGAATAGAGGCTTTAAAGTATTTGGATGAATTATTGAACAGATTTCGAATAGTGACTATGATTACTAATCAGAATGGTTTTCATGCAGCTTTGGTAAGAAAAGATGTATAGGCCACTAGGAATTTTTTGCATAAATTCCATGTACACTGATTTCTTTTTAGGACTTTTTTTTAGAATTCTCACGACAAAATCCATGTATATTATCCAGATCAATGCTGCAAATAGTTTATTTACCCACAACAAATCGGGTGTTTGGTGTACAAAATTTTGCTGATGTTTTGAAAGATGCAGCGCGGAATTTCATAGGGCCTCCAGTACTAATGCCAAAAAGCACATTACTTCAAAATCATCAAGCTAAGGAATATGTTGATAGTTTTATGTCTCATTGTGTAGGCCTCTTTAGCAGTTTACTGCAACTTACTGGTCATAATAGAGCAAGACAGAGAGAAAAATTAGCACATTTATTGGATGATTTCGCAGTATTGCAAGATGAAGTAAGATAAAAAAAAAAAAGAAAAAAAAAAAGAATGATTTGCATTATATAAGATTTGAGAATTTCATTACTCTAATTTCGAATTTTGACAGGCTGAGAAAATTGATGGATTTTTACACAGTTTGTCAATGAAAAGTGATACACCTAGATCACATATAGCTTGTTTTGGAACATGGATTTTGTATCATACATTACGCGTTATGGTCATGTATTTGTTAAGTGGCTTTGAATTGGAATTATACTCGGTACATGAATATCATTATATATTTTGGTACCTGTATGAATTTCTTTATGGATGGCTTGTATCAGCTATTACAAGAGCTAATACGTTCTTAATGGAACAGAATGTACATAATGATGCAAATAAAGGTAGACGCGGAAAAAAGAGAGCAAGAAGTAAGAAGAAAAAATCAACATCTAGACCATACAATTTAGAAATATTAATGTACCAAGCTATGCAAAATATATGTGGAGGATATTATAAAGTAAGTTGTACATGTTTGGCTTTTTGTAAAAGGATATAATTTCTACAATTAATTTATTTTAAAGGCTTTATTTGGTTTCCATATGGATGGTAAAATACTACTACCTGAGTCACCATTTGATTCGGAACGAGTTCGATACGAACACAGGTTATTACCGTTTTCTTCATTATTAACTCCACCACCGGTACTTTATCAAGAATTCTTAGATATAACTAATGTACAGGTGTATAAAAGAAACGTGAGTATAATGATCCTTCTTTTTCTTTTTTTTTTATCTACTAGCAAATGGCCTTTCTCAATATTTATTTTCCTAGGAAACGGCTACTAGTGAAATGTTGTACTTAGATGGTTGTCGTCATTTTCATCAAGCTAGAAATATGCTGGAACGAGCATTGTTTCTTTATCCTCTGAATGCTAGTACTGTAAATGAGGTAAATATTTTTGATCTTTTTGAGTTTTCGATAAACTTATTTTACTTATCATATCGCTTGATTTACAGATCAATGATTTATTAAAAGTGGCGAAAACAAATTTCGTGGTTCTAAAATTACTCGCTGATGGGCATAAAAAGGATTCCAAAGAACCTCCAGTATTTGACTTCTCATGTCATCAACATTTCCCACTGATAAAATTGAATTAAATCATTTGTAATGGCCATCATTTCATGCTATAAATTATATATTATTTATTCTAGCTTTAATCGTGCAAAAAATATTTTTGTGTTGTTGACTTTGGATGCCTTCTTTTTGTCTAATACAACCTTTGAAGCTCCCTTTCTTTTTTTTGTTTTATTAACGATACACTCTTCATTGTACAGATATGTATTATTTGTCGTATATATTTTGTGGATAAATTTCTATAAAAAATGAAACTGATATTTGTATATAGTTTATCATAAATCGTATGTTTTAAGTGAGTTCATGTGGATATTAAGAATGAATGCATCGATTGTCTGAAGATAAGGTTCGTGAAATTTACAGACCGTTATGAAATGTAAATAACAGAAGTATAGAATGTATAGTCTCGAAATGTTGTATAGTAACACACCTTATCAATGAAATCGTTAACAATTCTTGTTAGTCACATCTGCAACATTTTAAATATATATTGAAAGCTTCAGCTATGAAATACACATTCTGATACCAATCTTTTTTATAATAAAAACCCGTAATTCCATCGATCAAACGAGATTTAAGTTGTTTGCGTCTATGAGTATTGTATTCCTTACACTTTAGTAGGAAGACATGATTTATACATTATTAAATTCTGTACCGTGCAGAAGCGAATATTGTAACACTGAACTGAAACACTGGATCTTAATGTAAAATTAATAATTGAAAGATAAAGTACTTGTAAATCACAAAATTCATGTGAGGAAGTGATGTATGTCTAATAAAAATGATAATCTAAAACGGTTATAAAGTCTATTCTATAAGCAATTTTATTCAGTAAATATACATTAAAAATATTATATGCTGTTCCCTTTTTTTTTTTTATTCATATATATATGGACAAAAAAATGAATAGCAGTTTTGTTTAAACCTCGAACCTGTATTCAGCATCCAATTTAATTTATATTCAACAGGAATTTATATTCCTTCAAATCGGACTGTCATAATTAAACCATTATTTTTCATTTAAAATATTTCGGATTATCAACATCTACAATCTTTCAAAATGGTTTCTTGCCGTTCGGTAGATGTGGAGGATCGAAGAATAAAGAAACCCTATTTGGGAGGATGGAAGAACAAAATTACCCAAGTAGAATATTTAAATGCCGAGTCCCAAACAGGTCCTCCGAGAAAGCCACTTAAACAGAAATGCAGTAGAAAAGTACAATATATTTCTTGGACAGAAGTATTCACGCAAACACCGTGTCATCATCCAACGCAAATGTCGCGGTGCATGTGGATTTTTATTATTGTTAAAAAACGAACATTTCTACAATTTTCTTTTCCATACTACAGCAGCACATTTTTCACTGCTTTACTCTTATCTTAATTCCAACGATTACAAACTCTTTCTACGATTCTTCTTCGTTCATCTACATTTTTCTTCTCATTCAGACCTGACTGTTTCGTATCGAGCGAATCGGACAAGTACGTGACATCGAAGCCGTATGAAACATACGACGAAATGATGATACGACTGGATTACGATGGGAAGGCACGAATTATCCAAAGAAATTACAGGATATACAAATTGCTGAAGCGTATCAAAGAATATGCGAGACGGTACCGCGAGCTGGTCGAGAATTGCAAGCAGCACGAAGCGGAAAAAGTATTATTGTACAGGTACGTAATGTTTGAAACTCAAAAATCGCACTAACTCTAACTAACTATCAAATATCGACCCACGTCTTAGGAAAAGACATCGTCAGGAAATTCTTCGAAGAATCAATCCCAGAACTCGGTTGGATTTCGACATGCTCTACGAGTTGGTGGAGAAATGGCGACACGATCGTCTCGAGTGTGCGAAGCAACGATTCTTCAGACCCGCAAGGTGCGCGGAAAATCATGTGACATTGGAGAAGATGGTGGAGATGTTGAAGGTGATCGACCAGAAGAGACAGGCGGTGAAGAAGCGCTACATGGACCGGAAACGCGTGAGATTTGTCACGGTGAACTGCAAGCCTATTTCGTGGCACGGTTACAAGAACAAACTCATAGAGATGGACACGATGAGGAACCAAAAAGCGAGAGAATTGAAGATCCTTTACGACTCGTTGACGAATTACAGCGTTACTCGAGGGGAACGCATGGAGTTGCTCACGATGCTGAAGAAATCGTTGGAAGTGCACAACTGCGTGTCCGCGTTCGATCTGATAAGGCTCTTGGACCAAGAGTTAACCTACTTGGCAAGAGGGATGAAAGACATGCCGCTGGACTACTTCCGGGAGAGGGTAGTTTGTAAGAGAAAATGACGCGCGATTCTCGTCCGCGAAGCTTCGTGTGGTAGAAGTATCTTAAGCCAAATTATCTTCCCTTTTCCTTTAAAAATGCAGACAGTTATTTGGACTTTGTGCGGATGTCGCACTCGTGCTGTTGCACGAACAACGATAAACACTTTTGCAAGAACGTGGATGACGAGAAACTGCGGGAACCGATCGAACCATCCACGAGGTTATGTCGCAGTTGTTTAAAATTGATTCCCTGTCACAGATTCACCGTTCATGGAAGGATGAAGAGGCTGTTCACTTGCGTTGGTACCATCGACCTCATTTCGCAAACAGGTTTTCCGCGAAAAGTATACTTTTGTTGTCTCTAACTATTCTCCCGATGCTTTAAGCTTGCACATGGCTACGCGAACGAAATATCGCGCACGTCAACTACGATCCTTACATATTTCTGCTGAATTGCGTACGCTCCGAGGAGAAGAAAAGAGGATCACCGTCGGCCATTGCGTTTATGATGCAGAAACACGACATGTATTATTTGGTGAACAATATCTGGCACGGCTACTCGGTCGTCAGTGAAAACAGGGATCTGTTCTTGTTACGAGTCGTCCGATATGACGTAAATAAGGAATGGTCACCGTGGAATTGCATCATTTTAACGGCTGACGAGGCTGACGTTCACTGCAGGATCAAGGACCTCGCGAGCGTTTACTCGAAGCCACTCATCGAGAAGATCTTGTTGTCTCATCAGTTAGCGAAAAACCACTTCGGGTTTGTGCACATAGAGTTTTGAGTATCGTGGAGTGGAAATAACGTATCGATTGAATCCGTTGCAGGCACTTGAGGCAGTTCGAGAAGGAGTTTCGAGAAAAGTTTCATCGGATCGAGGACAAAGCGGTTTATAAACCGGCGATCAAAGTGGACGATTACCTTTTCACTTGATGTGTTTACTCGTGTTTAATTATTTATCCTCGTGGAGCTTTAACTGTCTCTACGAAACGGAAACGGAAAAGTAAAACACGCGAACAACTGATACTATACACGCATAATTTATATTCAGGCAAACCTGTCCATGGTTCTTCGAAATTATCTCTTCCCAAGCCGTCCATCTTGGTAGGAACTTATCGTATCGGGCAGAGAAAAAATTCGATCGGGTGGAATTGGAGGAGTGTGTCCTTTTCTGAACGAGGAATATATAAAATCGAAAAATAATGGACTAGAAAGTGCTTTTGACCGATCGACCAAGCAGGTTGCCATTGGCAACGCTGGGTTTAAGGCTTTGACCTTTCAGGTGGTGGAGAAGTCTCCTATATGGATTGCGTCGCATTAAAAGCTCCGCTTCTTCGTCTTTGTCCGACGTTTGTCGTTTCCGGCACCCGTGTCCCGTTTCTTTTTTCTCCGCCATGTCATTTCGATAAATCTAATAGCACGCGTTATTTCAAGGCACACCGACGTCGCCGTCGATTCCGCCGCTCGGCCGTTAGTGCACGCGTCGCGACGCTGCGCGTCGTTAGCCAATTTATAGCTTGACAGCACGAGTGACGATAAATTTCTCGGTGACGACGACAAATCACGGCGGAACGAACGATGAATAATCGCGGGACCAGCTCCATCTGATAAACAGCGACGTTATAAAAGTAACTTTTGGTAAACATGGAGCAAAAAAGGCGAAATTGATTCGCGGAAGCACGGTGAGTCGAGACACGCATCAGATTCCTAATTATTCATCAGCCTGTTCCAAAAGAGAATGATTGCATATCGCGTACGTCGAGTTAATTTATGTTCGAATTTTTCGCTTCTTTATACGTCCCTGTGCATTTCCTTTACTGAATTTTACACGACACGGGTTAGCGAATGCCGTGTAGCTTCGTGTGCATGTGCAGCGAAGTTCATTTTTTAAGTGGATTACTGATTTATCACGCACAGACTTTAATAGGATGAATCATTTGTTGTTGGTCCGCTTGAAACAACTGTAACCCATTGTGATCACGCGACGCCAATCGATTTCTTCGTTTTTCGACGATCCGTGACGGAATTACGAGCGAGACGCGACGCTTAATTATCATTTCTGTTAATTATTTGCCTCGATACGGACGTTTGTTTCGCGTTGACGTCTATTTTTCATCGAATTAATTGGTACGTTACGTATCACCTCCACGGGCTATTGTCTCTGCTTCCAAATTTACCAAGTGCTTTCATTCGGCATAGTTGGATGATCCCAGCGTCGACGCAGCGAAAAATTCCAGCGGAATTTCGTCGCACGATTATATCGTAATATTATTTTAGCATATTTATATTTAAATTCGGGGAGAGGAGGGAAACGTTAATCCCGACAAAGGGACGAAAAGTCATCGACTAGGCGATTCAACGCGCGTGTGATCTCAGGTGGAACGGTTCCATCGCCGATTCTCTTTTCGCATTCCGCTTCAGATTCTGCCCGATCTACGCGAATATTTTTGCGTTCGCGCAGTATCGTAGCAGCCCTTGCTTTTGCTTTGTTGTTAAATAATTCATAACGCTTCGAGAGCACGTTGTTTCGCTTTAACAATTTTTTAAATCTCGCGTTGCGATTCACGAAAATATTCCTTCAAGATACCTTTCAATCTTGCAATGTCTACGGATGCTCCGTAGATGCTTCCTCGAGACTTTCGTAGCAAAAGGTTAATATTTCTCTGACAATTTCTTGAAACTGGAGATGCCGAGGGTGTATCGGATGAAAGAAAGGGCAAGGTAGAAAAAGGAAACGAAGAAACTCGGAATGCAAATATAAAACAAACAAATCCAGAGTGCGAATAAATACGGAACGTAGATAAAATCGGAACTCGGAGAAATAAATTCAGAAATATGAATAAACAAATCTAGGATATATACGAATAAATGGGGAATACAGATAAACGAGTGAAAAATACAGGTATGCTCGGAATTTGTGGAATGGGCGAAAAACAGTGACCTTCATCTTAGTTTCTTGCTAGCAGGGAGGAACAAAATTGCGGACGAAAAGCGACTCAAAGAAGATGCTCGCTAGCGCTCCGCTGGTTGCCGCGATTCATGCATTTTTAATTTCGTCATCTTCTCGCGGGATCATGAATGTTTCATGCACAGACGTACCCGTAGTCAGCTGCTGGCGATGCAATTAAACAGAAATTAAATTTCTGCGTTCAGTTGGCAGCGAACGTTTAATAAGCAAAATGTAAACACTTAGCTCACGGGCAGGAGAGCCAGTTTACGCGTGGAAAATGGATTCTCGATATTATTCCGCGTTTCACGAATTCTAATTGAATTACGACCCATCCAATCGGAAATTCGTGTTGGGTGGTATAACTTCGAATCGAATTTCCCCAGCGAGCGTAGGTACTTGGAGAATTGTTTTCTTAAGTCCGTGACCCACGCGCAATTTTGGACGCAGGTATTCTTCGCTCTCCACCATTTTGTTTCGAGTAAGACGACAGAGCATGGAAGAGACGGTCGAAACGAATGGATACCTCGCGTTGATTCGATCGAGGCAAAGTTGAATGAAACGTGAGTGGAGAAAAGAAAGAAAGAACAAAGAAAAAGAAAAATAAACTGCACGCACGCATGCGTGTTTTTCTTGGTTTAAAGGGACGCATTACGCGCGATGCATTTAGTGCACTGACCGTGCAACGCGGGCTGCACACAAGTTTTACGGTTCTCCGCGTTCTCGTCGGTGCATTTCCGCATACACCGGAATTACCGGCTGAATTTCCATCAGCTATGAAACCTTGAAGGGTGCATTCCTCTATTCGCCACGGATGCTAAGCTCTGGCTGACGTTTGGCAGGATAACGAGGAATTAAGCTCCGCTTCAAGCACGAATTAACAGGTATTTATAACTCGAAAGCTCGTCGAAGACAGCATTGCTTGTAAAACGTTCTGCGTTCTGATACGCTCTTCGTCCGAATTCCTTCCTCTGGACGAGAAAATATCGGAAATGAAATATTCTTTTCGCAGCTCCTTTATTCGATCCTCGACGAAGAAGTAATCGAGCTCGATCCCACGGAACCATTTGGCGAACACGTTCGCGCGTTACGTTTATACGTCCGGTGACGGTTTTCTGGTCTAGGTAACTGGCCAACTTATTTGCGGTCAAATTTACGCTGGCAATACACTTATTTATGATCGAATTTGTGCCGGTCCATGTTCATTTACGGTGAAATTTATGCTACACTAAGCGGCCACCGATAACGCCACGTTTACGAGCGAATTTATAGCACGGCACGCGAGTGTCGATGATTGACGCTATAATATTTACACCGCGAGCTAGCCTATCGATGAACAAGTTTACGCGCTTATGATTCTTTCATCGGCCATTAAGACTTGGAAACTAAAGGGAAAAGAGCACCGCCGACCACCTACGCAATTCCAAACTTGCTAATGGCCTGAACGCTACTCGTGCCGGGAATATTATACTTTCATTTCCTAATGCGTAATGGGACCTTTACTCCTTTTAAGAAATTAAATACGAATGAAAATGCCGCGCCACTCGTGGCATACCAATTTCTTCAATTACCCTCGGTCTGGCGAGTCTGCGAATTTTATATCGATAATTTGCTGGTGGGCGTCGCTAAATTTGTACTCAACGATTTATCGAAGTTTGTTTTGGGCCGTTTAGGACGAGAGTAAATCACGAGGATACACCGATCGACGCCCAGACGATCGTCTAGGGCACGTTCCTGTCTTCAATGGAGTGCACGATTCTGTTCTCGGTAGTTTATGAGCCTGCCAACCCTACCAGAACCCTTGTTTGCGCTTCGTGACTTCTAATGTCACACTGCTGCATTTACATTACGATACAGGCTTGCTAATGGCACGTGGTTATGTTTACAATGCACCACGTGGACCCCTAATGTCACCGTGGGTTGTTTACGTTGCGTCACGTGGTCACTGGTTTGCGAGGCACATGTAACTACAATTTCCTATTGCATTTACCAAGTAGCCTAAGCTATGGATCCCACGTTAATCCTGCTATTAGCTACAATCGGATACCAAATCACGGCAAACCGAAAACGAGACTATATAAAGCTATCGATCACGAATAATTCTTTATTTCTTTCAGATCACGTTGGAAGAGAAAAACTCTTATATCAAGTCAGTCGTGTACATGACTTCGGTTCTATTTCCGGACTGGGCAGAAGCTTCCAAAAGGAAACTGATCAGGGAGAAACTGATCACGAAGAAAATTAAAAAAAGGCCATCATCATCGAAAAGGGAAATCAGGGTGAGGAAACACGTGTCAGGGAAAACAACCACCGATTACCTAAATCCGCGCAGACAATTTCGCGTTTCCCTCGCGTTCAACAACGCTCATTTGGAATTGTAAAACGGCGGTCGATGCAGTCCTCTAGGCGAATCCTTTAAACCGTGGCATAGTAATTTCCTTTACTGCCCGCATTACCATTATCCCTGGCTAGCTTTCAGCCAGCGATTATGCTCTCGCAACCGCGTTTCTTTTTCCGCAGCCGTGTCGATCGTCCACGTTGCCGTATTCCTGGTGACCAGAAACGGACCTCGGATGGAGAATTCAGTGACCGAAACGACGCCATTTTTGGCCGGCTGGAGGGACACGGTCTCAGGGACCGTTTACCGCAACGCGTGCACGCAGACCGGGGAGAATGGGGGTAAAACCGAGAAGAAAGCGCAGACAGACTTCAGAATGGAGAAATTCACGTACATGGAACGCGAGGTTGGGGTACAGGCGAACTTCTTCCCCGACCTTCGCGACAAAATCGTGGATAGCACTCGAAAGGAGCCGAGTTTTAAGGATACTCCGGACGAGAAGATCCTGAAGAGCGGCGTAAAGATACAGAGGTTTTACAGGTGAAGTAATGGACGGTGCAAGTTAAAGTAGCGGGTAAAATTTAAGGGAAAAGAGAGGTTTCTTCGTGCCGCGTGGCTGGCTAAAGTAGAACCGCGATGCTTTATTAAATCAGTCGCTTTTATCAATTAATTGCCCCAGCTGCTGCGAGTCGGGACGTAAAACTCGATGTCGCAGGAAGATACACAATTTGTCCGTGTTTGCATAAGTGGGTCAAAAGAGAAGTGGTTAAGAGAGCAGAAATTTCGTTCGAGACTCTTTGAAACTTTCTTACCCGTGCTACGATAATTTAGCATCGCGTAGATCAATTTAAACCCATCCGACCTCGTAAATTATTACGACGATTAATTTATAATTGGATCGAAGGATAAAACGTGCTCGTAAAATCGGCACAGATTAAAAATACAAGCGTTTCCCTTGTCGGAAGTTGATTTCAGATATCTAAAAGAGAATATGGCGAGTCAGCAGATGTTAATTTCATACGGAGTCATCCATTGTTGAGTGACATTAAGAACAGCTCACGAAGAGCCCAAGTACCTCGAAATTCGAGATACTAAATTGAATCCCTAGCAGGAGATTGATATTAAATTAAAAATTCGTTCCATTTCACTGCTCAGCGTTAAATATCCATAGAATTGTGCCATTTTGGCATCCGCTAAGTCTCCCATTCGATACGATAATTTACAACCGCGTTATATCCTTCGAAGCAACTATAGGTATAGTTTTACAACCCTAACTGTGATTCCGCTCTGACTTTCGACCGAGTGAAATATTTCCAAGAGCCCAGACAGCCCTCGAACTTTCCCCAGCCCTCGACACCCCAAATCCATGGATTTCCCTCGAACCGACGAACGTGTCAACGAAGAATCCCGAGCTGAGTATCGTAACTCCGTGGCGTAAACTCCTGCGACGAACAAAATCTCCAGGAACACCTGTTCAAACGTCCGTTCGGCGTTGCCCGCAGAGCTCACCGCGACCGGCAAACCACGATCCCGTCTACCGGCGTTTCAGCTCGCGCTAAGAACACGGACCTGCAGCAAATACACCGGGAACAGGGCTCCTATCGTAGCCGGGATTTCGTGATACTAAACCGCACGTCGCCGAGTACCAGAGCGGACTTCGAGTTGCTGTACAATCTGTTGGATCGTTGGCGGCTTCACGAGACGAGGAGGGCCAACGAGCAGCTGTTCGAGCCGTCGAGGATTGCGTTGTGCAGTCTAATTCTGTCGAAGGAGGTGGAGCTGTTGCGAGGTATAGACGCGATGAAAACGAGGGTGAGATTGGAGAAGAAGGAAAAATCGTACAGAAAGTTCCTGGACGATCTTTGCAAACCGGTCGTATGGAGGAACAGTCGCGGGGAACCGATCTCCGTGGAGACGGAGCTAGTGCAGCTGGCTAGGTGTCTCAGGGACACGTTCGAGGAGTTGTCAAAGGAGGATAAGAGCGTGAAGGAACGGGTAGAAATGTTGTCGAAACTGAGGAAGGATGTGGAGAACGTGTAGGGAATCGGACGAGCTGATACGTCTGCTGGATCAGGAGATCGATCTGCTGACCCGTAACGTGAAGGAAAGTAAGTTGAATTGGTTAAGGAGCAGACTGAGGATGGCTTTTTTGAGACTGGCTAGAGAGTGCCTGAGAAACGAGCGCGAGGATTCGAGGCTGATCGGTTGGTTCCGGTCCAGTTGTAAAACCATCTGCAGAAGCTGCGGCAGACTATTGCCCGTGGAGAAGTTTCCGCGCGAGGAACGGCGTCGTTCCTCGTCCTGCAATTACTGTCTGTACGTGAGAGTTCGGAACGGGCCTCGAGTCATCTACGAGCCGTATCAGAGATTGCTTCGCGACGTCAGGCGTAACGAGGCTAGAATGCATTGTTACACCAGCCTGGCCTTCGTTATCGATGCGAAGATCGTTTACCATTTGGTGAACGACATTTGGCACGGGAAATCGCCGATTTCCGAGAACGATTGTCTACGAGATCTGAGATTGGTGAGGTTCCGAAAGGACGAGGAGTGGTCACCGTGGAACTGCCTTTTGCTAACCGAGAGGGAAGCCGCGATGCATCGAAAGGTTGCCAACCCGGAGAAGTTTTACGGAACGATGATACTGCAGAAGTTCCACACGAAGAATCTTCAGGCCAAACTTCGATTCGTGTCCGTTGCTGAATTCAAGAACTTTCGCGGGGGCAAACAGAGTTATTAAATGGTACTTCGTCGTTATTCACTGTAAAAAGTTAATTCGTAGATTATGGATACCTTATACGAGAAAATAAAATGAGGATAAGGATATAGCGTTAACACGATGACTGCCGCGCGCATTTTACGTGGTTTGCCCATGGCACCAACATGAATTCTTTATTATGCGATGCGTATTATGTTGAAATATTATTTACAGCAGATAAGATTTGTACAATACCGTTTAATGTATTTTTCGTAGTGGGGGTCACCGGTAACCCCCGAGGCGCTGTAGGCCATTTTTGCCGTTATCAATTATTTAAAAAGTAACTCGAAAAAATATTTCTCGAAATAACTAAATAATAAATAACTAAATAAAATAAAAATAAAATACAACTCGAAATAATTCCCGATTTTAGGACGAAGTTAGCGATGTACTTAGTGAAATGTTCTGATGACGAAGATTGCATTTCATCGAGCAATTACGTACAGGAAAAACGTCGTCACGAATTTAAAATAGAACCTGGAAGTGTGCGAAATGTAAGGTGATTTTGCAAAGTGTGCTACGAAAAAGATTCAAAACAGCTAGGAGGAATGAGAGCAAAGAATTGCACTAAAAGAGTAGCGACATATTGTGCTGACTGTTTTGGTTCACGTTTTCTTTGTATAAATAAAATTATTCTTGCATGCTCTGTATGGCATTAATTTCTTCGAACCATTACAGTAACAATGGTACTATTTAAAAATTTATCACTATCGATATTTACTCTAATTATGTATTTTTACTAATGGTCGCGTCGCCGGTCACCGGTGGCCCCATTTATTTTTACTAATGGTCGCGTCGCCGGTCACCGGTGGCCCCCACGACGCTGTAGCCAAGTCGAGTGCCGCCCACCGGTGACCCCCATGATAGTCAACGTGTTAATTAAAAGAGAGCCTGGATGAACAGTGAATTGTTAAAAACTGATGACCAAATAATTGTGACTTGCGATAAGGTTTTAATAAAGTAATACTTTTATGATAATCTACATTATTAAATTCATAAATCTACCATTTCCATCAGGATTCCGCGAGGCAGGAAGGAATGGAGAAAATAACAGGTACCGTATTCCTCATAAATATTCGACAAACACATTTCCCTTGTTGTTATTTTCGAGGAAAGACGACGTCGGTCTGTAGTTTTATTTTCAATTACAAACTTGCGGCAAGCCAGACACCTTGTTCAGGATGAAACGTCAGTACTAGGGGTGAGAAGTTACCAGTGTTCCTCGTTTTCCATCTCCATGGCTTCCGGTAGCTGGCTTTGGCCGCGTTGATAACACGAGTTAATCGTGTCGCAGTTTATAAACTAAGTTTCCGTCAACCAAGAAAAGAGGCGCCGGAACTCTCTGACAGTTAACCCTTTATAATATCCTCTGTGTCTCCCTACGCTGCGTGCTCCGCGAGCTCTGTCAACGCGCGGAATTGCTTTTGAATCATTAGAATTCACGAATGATCCAGAGAGTAAATCGAAGTAGAGACAATTTTCCTGAATCCGAGTAGAACCAGTTTAAAGATCAATACCGGAGTACCGAATCTAATAACTCATATACTATATTCAAGTACGCATTACAAGTTGATAATTTTAACGTTAATTACCTATTGGAATAATTTGATTTAATTCGGTATCTCGGTTAATTTCGTTTATTTCTTCCGATAAATTTCCGACCCGCTGTTGCGCATGTTTATCAAACGAATAATCGATAGATCGAAATGCGATCCCCTCGAACGATATACTAGTTGCGATTTTCAGTTACTGCAAAAAGTGGTTCGAGCGCTTTGAGGGATTGAAATTGTATCCGTATTGGTATTACCGTCTTTTGTACGAGGTAAAGAGGTTATTTCGCGTTGAAAATATTTTACATATTGTACTCACGAGAGTGGGTTCCTTTCAACGCGCGTTTCTTTTTCAGCAAACCGACAATCTGTTTCGGTCAGTTCCTTCCGCCCACGGGTAATGCCGAACATTCTCTGGTCGTTAAGCGTTCAACCTTACGCAACGGAAGCGGGGAAAAAAGATAAATATGTATCGTTGCAGTTAAAAGAGAAAATGATGGCGAAGCGTAACGAAACGCCGGCCTTATGGCTATCGCGGGTTGCGCAACGCGCGTACCCTCGTAAAGATGCCAACTTTTATTTCGCGGCGAACGGTGTCGTAACGCGAAAAACGTCCCACGGTTTACATTTAAAATGGCGGCCTTAGTCGCGACGGTTTTTTAATATTTCAATCTGCAGATGACGGCCGGCTTCGCGTTATCTCGGTGGAATTCGCGCGCGATTGCTTCGCTGAATTAATCGAATTGATTGTAAGAAACTGAATTTTCTATCAGATTTCGATTCTTCTCGGCTTCCACGTTTTGATATTATCACTCAGCTAATCAAACGACGAGATTTCTACGAGTTAAAATAAGCTCCGAAGATTCCAATTTTGATATATGTTCTAATTTATTTTTCCACGAAAATGATAGCATTATTGCTCCCGTACATGAAGGCAATATAATCATCGATTACTTTCGAGTAATTCGAAGAACGATGTAGGTAATTTTGATTGTGATATGGACGAAGATCGAGCAGCTTATATATAGCAGATTTATTCCGCTTAAACACGTCTGACCAACTGCGGACCTATACCATTTAAAATAAATTATTTTATTTTCTCTTTACACAACATCGAAATGCTTTGAATCGAATACGAACGTACATGATATCAGTGGCTGCTTATCATTGGTAGACCGGTGTCCAAAGCCAATGTCATAAATTTCAAATACTTTATCGAGTCGTTTCGCGTCAAAGAGATCAAATCGATCACGATATCGTCTTTGATATCTTTGATACAGCTCCGCGATGCTTTTCGACCGTTCTGTTCACCGTTCACCGTCTAATTCGATCGAGTGGTCCGTAAAGTCGCTCATCGAATATTCGCCCGCCGGTTGCTGGTTTATTCGCATTGAATTTTGGTCCACTGGCAAGTTAAGTTTCACCGTTTGAAACTTAGAGTTAGCACGGATGTAACGTTTATAGCGTTAGCAGACAACGGGTGATAAGGGAGCAGTTAGAGTAGCTCTGTCGTAGATTATGTCGCCGCGTCTACCGTAGGCACACATAGGTTAAGTAGTTTAGGCCCGCGTGTGGTCAGACACCCAGTTTAATGTAAGACGATTATACGCTCAACGCGATATGCGCGTGTTAGATACACGAGACGAGACTACGTCGACCCGACACCTTGTCATCCTCTTCTGATCCACGAGTATCGAATACTCCTCGCCATTTTCCCTACGAATGCTCGCACGCGTCGTAGACGAGCGCTTATTTCGCCGAAAATTCCGTCCAAGGTGCGACAGTCGGGCAACAACGCGATATTCCCCGAGTACCCGTTAAACGATGTTTTCAGCATTGCCGAGAGTGTTCTGGAACTGGCGAAAACACCGGAAACGCTTCGAAACGGCCGTGCAGCAATGTTGCAAACTGCGAAATTACTTCCTGCAGGTTCGCGCCGATGCTGGAAAGTTTGGCGCGTCCTCGCGAGTTCGCGCGCAGAATCAGGCTTGCAGCGAAATAAATATTTTCCGCGGCGAAATAAACGTTATCCTCGGACGAATTAATTTTACACGGGGATTCCAACGGGACCGGATGTCGCGCAGACATCTCGGTCTCCGTCGCGGCGAATGCATAAACAAGCAGCTTCTTTCACGGGGAGGGAAACCGGCCACGATATTCAGCGAAGAATTGCCGGGGCGAATTGAGTTGCCAGAACTTCCTCTCCACGGCCAACTTTTCGATTATTCGAAATTATGGCAGCTCCCCGCCGGGGGAGGGGAATTCCGACGATTTGTCCCTATGGAAAGTCGTTCGGTCGTATTCGCGAGAACGTTACCATCGATTCCTCTAATACGACGCGTAAATCTCGGCGAAAATCTCGATTATTTTCGCGTGATCCACGCTGGCCGTGGATTTATCGCGATGAACGTGACATTTTAAAAGCTGCAACTGCATTATCGATACCTCGACGAACTAATTACGTGAGGGCGAAGGGTGGAGGAGGGGAAGGAACGGGGAGAAGTCGTTTTGCAATTACCGAACGTAAACTTCGCGATTTAATCAGGCTGGCTCTGCTGGCGCAGTTTTGATTGCTACGTCCGTTCTAATCGAATCGTTAACTTTTATCGCTGTTTTCATCATTCCTGCCCGTTTTCACCGGGAAATTATGCCGGTAGATAATCTACGATTCCGCGCGATTCGATCTTTCGCTGGATTCGCGAAGGCAGCGAAAGAGAGGCGTCCGGTCTAATTTGTAATAACAATTTACGTTTCACGCTTGACGAGTCCTATCCGACGATGAGACACGACGATAGCTCGAAGCTTTCAATTAATTAGCCATCGAAGGACGAACGATTAATCATTTCTTCCGATACGGCTAGCGAAAGGAAACTAATAAACCGAAATGGGGTTACAGCAACGATTAATTTTAATCTTTTTTCTATCCCTACCTCGAGCTGCAAGCCGATCCCGGCGGACCGTGACCAATAACGCGACAAATCGATACATTCCTACACGCGGATTCGATTATACCTGTAACAGACCGAATTTCAACTTTCCACACAGCCTTTCGCTACGTCCAACGTTTGCCGGCAATTAATCATTTCTTTCAATCAAACGAACGACGAAAGTTAATAAACCGAAAAATGGGGTTGTTGCGATCATTAATTTGAATTTGTCACAGGTTCGTTGACCGTTTAATGCCCCGTCACCGGTGGCCGGGTAAGTCGATCGACTCTCCTGTTCGGCGGTTGTTCGATTATTATGTCCTGTAAACGAATTGATATAAATTAACGGCATACCACGCCCAGCGATAGTTGGTCGCTTTTTCGTGCCAGAGTAACTTGATTATTCACCGTTTAATCGTAATTGCAACAGCGAGCAATGCGTAATAACGAGATCATTAATAGAGTGACACTGACAGCGATCGTTGATTTCTAAATAATGAGGTAC